AATGGATGAAGAAAGCCGAGAAAGAAAAAAAGGAAAAAAAACTGGCGAGAAGTCCGCGGGTGTGCTGGCCGTCCTCACAGTGAAGCCATACGGGCCCTGAAACGCACATTATATTTATGTGACGGAATAGATGAAGAAGAAGTGGGACTCTTTTCGTGATCGTCCTTATTCATGTAACCGACTACCTCAACTGGAGAAGCGTTTGCCGTGCTAAGCGCCTCGCGCTCCTGTTGAGGTAGCCATGGGGTGGAAATGGAAATCATCAGGAAGAAATGAAAGGGTGTAACATTTTTTGACCTGGTTGAGGTGAACCTTCCGAGGCGAGGACTGCGGAGCTGTTACTGACTATAACGACGTGCGGGTGATCTATCGAAATGACTCGGAATTGTCCAATCCATGGATAGCAAAGTTTTGCCGACACTCCTGGTTTGGGTGTAAAATCACGGAGATACACCCTGTCGCCCACCTTGATGTCTAGGGGAGGTAAGCCGGTTCGGTCGAATTGGTGTTTCATGACCAGGCTGCGTTTACTATTGTACGTAGAGGCCTTGGACCACACTCCGTGAAGTATTCGCACTAGAGATTCTTTATAAATGCTAGCATCCGAATCGTTCGGAATGTGGCCTTCGTGGTGATGTCGTATGAGCCAGTCGATGTTCAAGACGGCCCGGCTCCGAGAGCAGGTCGCGTCCGAACATGAGAAAAAATGGGGATTCATTAGTGCTACTATGAATCGAGGTGTTATAGGCGAGCGTGCAAGATGGCAAAAATAAATCCCAGTCGGACTGCGTGGCGTCAATGTAAGTTCGCAGCATGGACTGGAATGTGGCGAACATTCGCTCACAAGCGCCGTTTCCCTCGTGGTGGTAAGGGGTCGTGAAGTAACGGTCGATTTGGAAAACTCGTCCCAGCTCCGAGAGTAGGTCGCCTTTCAGGTAGGATGCGTTATCCGAGACGAGTTCTGTCGTGGCACCGAAGACTAGGATACACCGGGACATGATGAAATGCGCTACGGTAATCACGGTGCAATCCTGTACCGCTGCGGCAATAACAAATTTGCTAAAATGGTCGATGAGGCACACTATTTATTTGTTACCGCGTGGGGTCGGATGGTATGGCCCGCTCAAGTCGAGGTAGACCTTACTGAAAATAGCGTTGGTCAACACAGGAAGGAGGCGTTCGCGGGACAGCGGATGGGGACGTTTCCGCTGACAGGGATCGCAAGAGCGTACAAACTTGTAGACGTCGTCCCGCATAGAAAGCCAGAAAAACCGTCGAGAAATTTTTGCCAGTGTCTTTTTCCAACCGAAGTGTCCACCAGCTGTAGGGTTGTTATGAAGAGCTACACATATAGGTTCGCGCAAGGCGAAGGGGACAAAAATCATTGATGGACGAGAGTTGCTTATACCTGCCGGGGAGGGAGAGTAATATAAACAACCGTTAGACTTGAGAAAGCACTTATCAATCCATTCCAGGCTCAGTTCTTTAAGTTCTGTCGTTATATTGTCAGG